ATGCTCTTAATCACTGTGCTGCACTATCTGTCATGATATGTGGCATGGAAAGAATTGAGCTTTGTGGTCAGGCCTGTCTAAATTCTGGATCTGTAACTTAACTCATTTTGACCTTGAGTAAAGCATATTCACTTTTGCATTTGGGTAAAATACTATCCAACACTCTTTTTTTCTTAACCTGTAAAATCATAATATCAATCCCTATTCAGAGGTGATTGTGGGATTGAAGGAGTAATAGTATAAAGCATCTAACTCAGGTTTCCCTTTAAGGAATTTATCTTTTCTCTTCCGCCTTACCAGGAAACAAAATGACCCCAGACTTTTCCTTTGAGTTTATTTAAACACACTTGTGATTCAGTTAACAGGGAAACAGATCCTATCCTGAAAAAGAATATAAAAGAGGAAGTTTTGATGGTATTGGGAGTCCTTGAAAAGCCTAAGAGTTGAGAGAAGAATCTAAGATGAGAACAGCTTTGATGTGAAATTTAAATGGCTGCTCCTTTGGCCCAGATAGGAAAGGACTCTCCTTAAGGTGCCCTGAGAACCGAAAGAGTGAGTTTAGCCTAAATATAGAGGTAGAGAGAAAATTAGGAAGGCTGACGGCTTTGAGGAAAAGACAAGGACATGGAAGAGATTTTTACCTTTAAAAACTACTTTGTTTACTTGGATTGGTCATGTGGGAGAAAGGAAAAGGAGAAGGTTGGGAATAAACTGCAGAGGACTGCTCTGTGGAGGACAGGGTTCTTCTGTGTGTGTGTGTCCGTCCTTGATCTCCTGTTACTAGAAAGGAAATAGATTCTAGTGAGGGAAAGCCTTTTCTTGGCACTGGGCAACCTTCCCTAGAGTATTAGTTTTTAGACTTCTTTGGCCATTAAAATATGATGTGCTTAGATACTTTCTCTTCTATTTCATTTTTAAAAAATGCTGGTATGATGGCCTTTTTTTTTTTTTTTTTTAAAGTTAAGTTTAAAGTGATCCACTAGGGGTCAAGACCTGCAGTTTGAGAGCCTGCCACCAGGCAGTCTGGGCTGTCTGAAGCAGCATTCTCCATCAGTGAAGACGGGATTTATTCCAATTTATCTTTTCTATAGCATGCGTGAGAAGGCTGTTCGAGAGCTGCTTACCCGGCACTGCCAACTATTGGAGACCACTGAATCTTGGGCTAAGGAGACTTTCCTGACCCAGAAGCTTTGTGTGCCTGCTGAGTGGATTCATGAAGCCAAAGCAGTGCGAGCACACATGGAATCTGACAAGCACTTGGAGGCACTCTATTTATTTAAAGCAGGGCACTGGAACCACTGCCACAAACTCATCATCAGGCACTTAGCTTCTGGTGAGTGCTTCACACTATAACCTATGTGTCCTGGAATTGCTCCAAATTCTCCCACCCTCTGAACTGCATGATGAATCAAGCCAGAGATGATGATCAGTATAGGATTTGGCACTCTTGAATCAGAGCACACTTTCTGAAAGAGTCTTGGCCAGGATGAGGAGCTAGAAGGGCAGGGTTAGACAGCAATATTGTTATATTACTATTTGCTAGGAATATTCTTGGTGTGTACTAATTATGTTAAGCTCTTTGTTTATTTAGCAAATTTTATTCAACACCACCAAAATGAAAGAAGAAACACTACAACTGATACTACAGAAATACAAAGGATCCTACGAGACCACTATGAACAAATGTTTACACCAACAAATTAGATAACCTACAGGAAATACATAAATTCCTAGAAACAAAACAACCTTCTTGGATTGAATCATGAAGCAATAGAAAATCTGAACATAGTGATTACTAGTTAGCAGATGGAATCTGTAATAAAAAAGCTCCCTACAAACAAAATTCTAGAACCAGATGGCTTCACTAGTGAATTCTACCAAACATTAAAAGAAGAATTAATACCAGTCCTTCTCAAACTCTTCCTAAATACAGAGGGGAACACTTCCAAACTCATTTTACGAACCAGCATTACCCTGATACTAAAACAAGACAAGGATACCACAAGAAAAGAAGATTATAGGTCAATATCCCTGATGAACATAATGCAAAAATCCCCAACAAACTGTTAGCAAACCAAATTCAACAGTGCATTGAAAGGATTATACGTCATGATCAAATGGAATTTATTCCAGGGATGCAAGGATGGTTCAGTCTCTATAAATCAGTCAATGTTATACACCACATTAACAAAATGAAGGATAAAATGCATATGGTCATCTCAATAGATACAGAAAAACATTTGACAAATTTCAATGTCCATTTATGATAAAATTTCTGTAAATAAAGTGGATATGGAGGAAATGGACCTCAACATAATAAAGACTGTATATATAACAAGACCACAGCTAACATCATACTTGATGGTGAAAAGCTGAAAGTTTTTCCTCTAAGCTCAGGAACAAAACAAGGATGCCCACTTTCACTACTTTATTCAATATAGTATTGGAAGTCCTAGCCACAGCAGTTTAGGCAAGAAAGATTAATAAGAGGCATCCCAATTGGTAAGGAAGAAGTTAAACTATCATGTCAGTATTTGCAGATGACATGATACTATATATAGAAAACCCCAAAGACTCTACCAAAAAAAAACTAAGAACTAATGAATTTGGTAAAGTAGCAGGATATGAACTCAATACAGAAATCTGTTGCTGCATTTCTATGCACTAAAAATGAACTCAGAGAAATGAAGAAAATCCCATTTACAGTTGCATCAAAAATAATAAAATACCTAGAAATAAATTTAAGCAAGAAGTGAAAAATCTGTACTCTGAAAACTGTAAGACATTGGCAAAAGAAACTGAAGAAGACACAAGAAAATGGAAAGATATTCCATGATCATGGATTGGAAGAATTAATATTGTTAAAATATCCATACCACCCAGAGCAATCTACACTTTCAGTGCATCCCTATCAAAATTTTGGTGGCATTTTTCATCCAGAAAATTCTAAAATATGTATGCAACCACAATAGATCCTGAATAGCCACAGTCTTGAGAAAGAACAAAGCTGGAGGCATCACTTTTCTGGTTTCAGGTTCTATTATGAAGCTATAATAATCAACAATGAGGTATTGGCATAAAAACACACGTAGGTCAATGGAACAGAATAGAGAGCCCAGAAATAAACACACACATATATGCTTAATTAATACAACGGGGAAAGGACCATCTCTTTAATAAATGGTGTTGGGAAAACTGGACAACCACATGCAAAAGAATGAAATTGGACCACCATCTTATATGCAAAAATTAAATAAAAATGTGTTAAAGATTTGAACATAAAACCTGAAAGCATAAGACTCCTAGAAGAAAACAGCAGTAAGCTCCTTTATATTGGTCTTGGTGATGTATTTTTCAATATGACAGCAAAAGCAAAAAAAAGTGGGACTACATCAAAGTAAGCTGCTGCATAGCAAAGGAAACCATCAACAAAATGAAAAGTCACCTTACTGAGTGGGAGAAAATACTTGCAAATCATGTATCTGATAAAAGGTGCATATCCAAAATATATAAAGAACTTATACCATTTGCTAGCAAAAAAAATTGGATTAAAAAAGTTGGCAGATGATCTGAATAGACATTTTTCTAAAGAAGACAGATGGCCAGCAGGTACATGAATAGATGCTCAACATCATTCATCAGAGGAATGAAAATCAAAACCACAAAAGATACCACATCATCCCTGTTAGAATACCTGTTATCAAAAAGACAAGAAATAAGTGTTGGTGAGGATGTAGAGAAAAAGGAACCCTTATGCACTGCTGGTAGGAATGTAAATTGTGCAGCCATTATGTACAAAAGACAGTGTGGAAGTTCCTCAAAAAATGAAAAATAGAGCTACTTCCATTTTTGGGTGTTTTGAAGAAAAATAACACTAAGAAAGATATATGCACCCCCATGTTCATTGCAACATTATTTACAATAGCCTAGATATGGTAACAACCTAAGTGTCCATTGATGGATATATAGGTAAAGAAAATGTAGCATGTATGTATGATGAAATATTATTCAGCCATAAAAAAGAATGAAACCATTCATGACGATATAGATGGAATTGAGGGCATTATGCTATGTGAAGTAAGTCAGAGAAGGACAAATACCGTATGATCACATTTATATAATGAAATCTTTTATTTAAAAAAACCTAGCTTGTAAATACAGAGAACAGATTTGTCATTACCAGAAGCTGGGGTTGTCGGGGTTGGGCAAAATGGGTGAAGGGAATTAAGGTACAGACTTCCAGTTTTAAAATAGAAGTAAGTTGTGGGAATGTGATTTGTAGCATGGTGACAACAGGTAATAATACTATGTTGCATATTTGAAAGTTACTAAGAGAGTGAATCTTAAGTTTTCATCACAAGAAAAAAATTTATATGATGACAGATGTTAGATTTAATTGTGATCATTTCATAATGTATACAAATATCAAATCATGTTGTACACCTGAAACTACTTTAACGTTATATGTCAATTACACCTCGATTTTTAAAAATTTAAAAAAAAACACCAAAAGTATCTGTTTGGAGAAATGAAACCAGAAATTCTTTACGTTTTTCTTTAAAAAATTTCAAAATATCTACTTATAATTATCAAGTCTGAACCGTTATTTCCCCTTCCTTCCTGTCTTGGATTTCTGCCACGTCCTCTGTGCACTTTTAGAAACTATGTTTGTATAAACTTAGTGCTCAATATTTTCTTTTTTTTAGATGCCATTATTAATGAGAACTATGACTACCTGAAAGGGTTCTTGGAAGACCTGGCACCTCCAGAGCGCAGCAATCTAATCCAGGACTGGGAAATATCTGGGCTTGTTTACCTGGACTACATTCGGGTCATTGAGATGCTCCACCATATACAAGAGGTACCCGAGTTCCTTAACCACTGCCTGGTTTTCCTTTTCCCTGGCCCTTAAAGCCACAAAGACCTCAAAAGGACTGAGCAACCACTTAAACTCTTTGGCAGAGATAGCACTAACATGCAGGAGGGATGTTTTGGTGAGACTGATTAGCTATAGCCATTTGACAGCTGTATCAAAACTTAAAAATACTTTTCTGTGTTTGTACAACAGTTCTGAGGCTTGTGTGAAGTCAGCCTCCTTCCCTTGTCCATCCCCAGTTTGAGTAAGAGTAAGGTCAGAGATTTGGTGAGGGTGATTGTGTCACACTTTATTTGCTTATTTCAGAATTGTAAATATTACAGTTTTTTTAGTCTTCATTCACATGTCTTAAGTCAGTCCTGAGAGTCGTAAGATAGATCTCCATTGCTTGCAACAGAAAGACTAAATTCAGGATTCAAGCTCCCATAGAGGCTTATACATTTTATTCCTGGCTTACCTCCTTTCACTCTTAACCCACATTCCAGCCTTGCTAGCCTGCTCTGCTCACGCTAAATTACTCATGGTGTTAACAACAAACCTTGTCTTACTCCATGCTTTACTAGAACACATATACCTTTCCTTTAAGATACTAGATTGCTCTGAGCTCTGCTTTGCTCTCCTTTGCCCCTGGGAAATGTTAATTGCACTTCTTTTTTTTTTTAACTACCAAAACACTTGGTACATTTATCTATTAGCACAACTGCCCATATCATAATTATTTATCCACATCTGTAGGTTGCCATGAGCTGTTTGTAGAGACCTTCATTTTAAGGTTAAAAGCATTAGGGCATAGAGGTTAATAAAAAGATTCTGGAACCAGACTGTTAGGTTCAGTTCATGGATCCCTCATTCACTAGCTGTGTGACCTTAAGCATGTTAACCACTCTTATCTCATTTGGAAAAAAATGGGAGGGGGAGTCACAGGTTATTATAGATAATCTGACAGAGTTGTCATAAAAATCAAATCAAATATACATAAAATATTTAGCAGACTACCTTACATATATATGCTAAATGCTCAGTAATTGTTATCTGTTATCCTCATCAAAGTCCCAACTTACAAGCACAGTGCCTGGCACATAATATGCATAATTCATTATTTGCTGTACTTTTGGATGGATTAAGAACATCATCCCTAAATTTTACTGATGAAACCCTTTTCTAGTTGAACTTTCATTCATTTAACACAACCTAGTTATTGAGTTCCCACCATGTGCCAAGCACTGGTGAACTTGGAGAATATAATGGTAAATAATATGTGTTTTGCCCTTACTAAAGTAATAATTTTGGTGGGGAAGATACGTACAGGTAAATCAACAGTTACTATAGAGTATTAAGTGTGGGGATTAGCAGAGTGCTGTGTAGCACCACATAACCGAGTACCTATCCCAGTCTGAGGGAGTCAATAAAGATCTTTAGAAGTGAGTTTAAGGCTTTGAAGGGTAAAAAAAGGAAAACAGGTGGAGAAGAATGCTTCAGCAGAGGGAACAGCATGAGTAGGAGTCTAGAGATAGAGAAAGATCATAGTGCTTCCAGGGAACTTAGATCCTGTAGTTTTGGAGTATGGAGTGGAAAGGAGAGCCATGTGGATGTAGTAAAGCCACAGATCTTTCTCACCTGGACTGCTGTAGAAGCCACCTAATTGTTCTCTCTGCTTCTATACTTGTTCCTCTACAGTTCATTTCTACAGAGCAGACAGAGCCATCTTTCCAGTATACAAATCATATCATCTCACTCTCTTGTCTAACACTTTCCAGTACTTCCTCATTTCACCTAGAACAACGTGCTTCTTAGCAAGTCTTACTAAGCTCTGCATCAGTAATTCTTAATTTGTTTGTGCCATGGACCTTTTGGCAGTCTGGTGAAGCTCGTGGATGTGTGATGTTTTTAAATGTATAAAGTTTAAATAGCTAAGATTACAAAGAAAACTAGTTACATTAAAATACAGTGACCAAAATACTAAAAGCTTATGGTAAATAATAAGTGTTTTATTAACATCTTAAATAGCAAGCCCTAGCAGTGGATCTATACTGTAATTTTGAAGAAGTACTGTATTTAAACAGCATTAAGTATTAAAATCATGAAAAATTACTAACTACTGTAATTGATAGGAAAGTAGCTGTGATTTCTGTTGATGACAAAGTACTGGTAATAATTAAATCCTAAATTCTAGTTAAAAGTTAGTAAAAATGAAGATTTTTATTTTTCCCAATCCAGCTCACAGACCTTTTGAATTCTGAAAAACCCTGGTTATGATTTCCTGCTATATAAACCCTCTTGAGTTTTATCTTCTGTTCTTCTCTTCAACCCCACATTCCACCACATAAACTTCCTTTACATTCCCACCTTATGGTGTTTTAGCTGTTCTCTGCCTGGAAAGCTTGACCTTATTATTCAGGTCTCTTCTTAACATGATCTTCCTCAGGGAAGCCTTTCCTGATCCCCCAGTCTGAAGTAGCCATCCATTTTCTCTCTGTCACATTATCCTGTTTGAATTATCTGTGTAGCTTGTGATTCTTTAAGGTAATTTCTATCTAATATTGTTTCTTTATTTTTTTATAAGTTTTATGAGAGCAAAGACCTTGTCTTATCTTGTTAACCACATTGTAAAGTCAAGTAAAAGACTGAGTTCTAGTGGATGAAAAGGATAATACTTGTATAGAAATTAAATGGTAGACTCTGCAAAGCCCCCAAAAGGTGGATTCAGTGGGAGAGAGAGACTTCTTGGAAGGGTTGAGTAAGCCATTTGGAAAAGGAGGTGGTAATGGGAGACTTAGTAAATAGAGTGGTTAGTAAATAATGTAGGAATTTGGGAGGGGGTGCTAACCAAGAGTCATATTTAAGCCAAATGGGGGTAAGATGCTGCTGGAAAGTGTTCAGAATAAAAGTAGTAAGTAAGATGCTTTTTAGTAAGGTCACTGTGGCTACAGCATGGTAGGAAAAAGAAGGTAGAGGGAATGACACTGAAGATAGTGATGAAGTTCTTAAGATATTTCAGATGATAATGGTAACTTCACCTAGGGCAGTGTCTCTGGGAAGGGGAATGGAAGATTGAAATATTAGACTAGAGGTAAAATTTACAAATCATCAGCAAAGTGATTGTACTTGGAGGCACAGGAGTGGATTGCAACACATAAGGAGAAGACATGCAGTGAGAAGAGGGCCCTGCAGTATATTAGAAAGGGCGGCAACTTTGGAGTCAGGAGACCTAAATTAAATGCTAGTTTGGGATCTACCTCTTATTAACTGTGTACTCTTAAGAAGTCATACCATCTCTCTGAACCCAGATTTATCTAGATTTTTGGTGCCATATTAAAATTTGCTAGTTACACGATTCACAAATGGTGATCTCAAGACTCGCCCAATCCAAGGCTCTCTACACTCTATGTTTTTCTGTTGTGTATTACTGCTAAGATTGCCTTGTCCTTAGATACTAGACTGGGTGGCGGTGATACAGCACTGCCAGTCAGCTTCTTGGGTTTCCATCCCTTCACTTCACAACTGTTTCAGAGTTTTGCATGGTCAATTTATAGGTAGGAATGGTCTAATTGGTTTCTCTGCTTCTTTGTAGGTGGATTGCTCAGGTTATGAGCTGGAACAGTTACACACCAAAGTGACTTCACTATGCAACCGGATAGAGCAGATCCAGTGTTACAATGCCAGGGATCGCCTAGCTCAATCAGGTAAGCCACTAGCCTCTCCCCCATTCTTGCTTCCTGTCTTTATAATTGTAACACACTGCACTCCTGTGCCCACCTTCCCACCCCTCATCCATGCTGCTCAATCAATCCACTTTATCTCTCCAGACATGGCCAAACGTATAGCCAACCTTCTGCGGGTGGTACTGAGCCTTCAGCATGCCTCTGATGCAACCTCTGACTCAACGCCAGACCTTCAGCGAGTTCCTTTGCGACTGCTGGCTCCCCACATTGGCCGTCTTCCAATGCCTGAGGACTATGCCTTGGATGAACTGCGCAGCCTCACACAGTCCTACCTGCAAGAACTGACTGTTGGGAGCCAGTGAGCCCCAGGCTCCTCCTACCACACTCACATGCTTATTCACACTCACCACGTAGAGGTGCCCTGCATTGAGTTGATTGACACTGTTTGCCACTCTCTGAGTTGGCTATGGAATCCATCTTCCCTTCTTGCTGCCCCAATCAGCATCTTTCATTTGTTCAGGGTTTTTCTTAATATTGAACATAACTTAAGGGCTTTTGGAAACCAAAAAAGGAGCCAGATCTCTTTTTACCACCCTCAAGATCATTCCTTTTTTTTTTTTCCCCTTCTTTTTAAAAATGGTCAATAAAGTACCTTTGGCAGAATCCCACAAAAGAACCATGGACTCCTTTTCTACCCCCAGCTATTCTGTATCTTGTAAACCTACATGTCAACCTGCTACCCTACTCCTACCCCAGTGCTTTTATACTAGGACTCTTAAAAGGAGTGGGACAAATGATGGGAAAAATGTGTTTACCTAGGACTGTCCTTCCTTCCAAAGGAAGGAGAATCTTTCTTAAGTAGGTTGATGAGTTAACACTGAGTTTTAAAGCCAAAATAGGGTTGGACTGAGTTAAGTAGAACATGGTCTTTTTGACTCATTTAGGTTGGAAGTGATTACCTGTCATGGAGGGATGCATATACCTGTCTTGAATGTTCTTTGAACCCCAAACCTTCACTACGTTCATGTGCAGGAACCCTGGATCACAGATCCCAAGTCTCTGGGAAGCTCCCAGAACTCTGTTTGGTTTCTGGTATTCAGTCATCGCACTAGGCCTCCTGTCTGGATTTGCCTGAGGAGTTTGAATAAAACATGGCAGGTTGGATAATTCTCCCTGTCCCTGCCTTTCTAACCCAAAGCATTTTCTACCCTCCATCTGTAGTCCCAGAAGGTAAAACCATCACCGAAGCAAGCAAGGAGCTGGGCTTTAGGGGCAGGCAGAGGGCCTTTGCCATGCTGCTGCCAGCTATAGGAGCCCAGGTAATGGCTGAGACAGCTGGTGTTGGGGCTGCCACAGACAACATGGCAACCCCTGGGTCTTTATGCATGAAGATTATATAAAGGTTTTTATTCAAAAGTATATATATATATATATATATAAATGATCTAGATTATTTTCCTCTCTTTTCTGAAGATACTTTCTTAAAAAAATAAAATAAAATGTTTATAGCATTCCTGGTATTGGCTTTCCCTTTGTGTTTTTGAGCCTTCTTGTCCCAAGGAGTTTTAGGGTGGCATTACTTGATTTGCAATCTAAAGGGAGATGTAGTCCATCAAAAAGAAAACAGTTTGGTGCTAAACCAAAATATAGACTAGATTAAAGGCTGTATTTATAAGGACAAATTGAGGGGTGAGGAATTTGTGGTTAATTAATTAATCCTGGCCACTGTACATATATTTCTTTGCTTGGATTCCCAGTTGGGGGATCAGGGAGAGTCTCAAATTAACCAGTGGAATATAATTTAGCATTCAAAGCCTCCTGGATCTTGTGCTATGGGGATTTTTGCTTTTAAACCTCGAGCCACGCTTCACCTTTCTAATCTCAGTTTCCATTGTCTAAAGGAGATAGTGATCCCAGATGTTGATTCTTCACAGGGCTGTTCTTGAGAGGGGTCAAATGAGGCTGATGAGTATTATTCAGATCATTTTTTGATCTGTTAAACTGAAGATGTGAGCAAATTCCTGTTAGGATTAAGCCAGAGACTCCTTGGGACATAGAAGAATTCAGAGATGAGAAAACAGAGTGGGACTGCCCCATGGCTGGGGTTTCCCTTTAATTTGAATCCCTGAGGATAAGGATTACTCAGCTGGGAATCTCCCTCCACAAATGACTGTGAGAACCTGCAGAACACTGGAATAATGCCAGAATCAAAGGTCTAGAGATTAAATGTTGAATTAGCCAAGCCAAGGCCTACAGGGTACCTGTTCTTTGTAGATATTTTGCTTTTTGACTCAGTTTTTGTTCTTGTATTTCCAGAAAATTATTCTAGACTTTTTGTTTGTTTTTCAAAGAATCAGCTCTTAGACTTACTTATCAATCTTTTTTTTCTGTTCAATTTTATTTTTTTAATTTTCTATTAAAGGATGATGCATACACACTCTTATGAAGGTTTCACAGGAAAAAACAATGTGGTTACTACAGTTACCCATATTATCAAGTCCCCACCCATACCCCAATGCAGTCACTGTCCATCAGTGCAGCAAGATGCCACAGATCCACTATGTGCCTTCTCTGTGCTACACTGTTCTCCCCGTGATCCCCCACACCATGTGTAATAAACAGAGTACCACTCAATCCCCTTCTCCCTCCCTCCCCACCAGCCCTCCCACTAGTTCATTCTTGAAGTCTGTGAGTCTGCTGCTATTTTGTTCCTTCAGCTTTGTTTCATTTTTATACTCCACAAATGAGGGAAATCATTTGGCATTTGTCTTTCTCTGCCTCACTTTTTTCACTGAGCATAATGTCCTCCAGCTCCATCGATGTTGTTGGAAATGGTAGGATTTGTTTCTTATGGCTGAATAGTATTCCATTGTGTATATGTACCACATCTTTATCCATTTGTCTACTGATGGACACTTACATTGCTTCCATATCTTGGGTATTGTAAAAAGTGCTGCAACAAACATAGGGGTGCATATGTCTTTTTGAATGTGAGAAGTTGTATTCTTAGGGTAAATTCCAAGGAGTGGGATTCCTGGGTCAAATGGTACTTCTATTTTTAGTTTTTTGAGGAACCTTCATATTGCTTTCCACAATGGTTGAACTAGCTTACATTCCCACCAGCAGTGTAGGAGGGTTCCCCTTTGTCTGCATCCTCACCAGCATTTGTTGTTCTTAAGTCTTTTCGATGCTGCCCATCCTTATTGGTGTGAGGTGATATCTCATTGTGGTTTTAATTTCCATTTCCTTGATGATTAGTGATATGGAGCATCTTTTCATGTGTCTGTTGGCCATCTGAATAAGATACTTCTCTGGAGAACTGTCTCTTCATATCCTCTGCTGATTTGTTAATCGGGTTATTTGCTTTTTGGGTGTTGAGGCGTGTAAGTTCTTTATATATTTTGGATGTTAACCCCTTGTCGGATATGTCATTTAAAAATATATTCTCCTATACTGTAGGATGCCTTTTTGTTTTGTTGATGGTGTCCTTTGCCGTACAGAAACTTTTTAGTTTGATGTAGTTCCATGAGTTTTTTATTTTTTGGTATGTTGGCTGAGTGCTTTTTATCTTTTGGATATTTACCCCTTTTAGGTATATTATTTGCAAATATCTTCTCCTATTCAGTTTTGTCTTTTCATTCTGCTGATGGTTTACTTTGCCATTGGCTTTTTAGTTTGCTGTAGTTCTACTTGTTTATTTTTGTCTGGGAAGACATACATAGAAAAACTTAATAATGCTAACGTTGAAGAGTTTACTGCGTAGTTTTCTTCTAGGAATTTTATGGTTTCAAGTTTTATATTTAGACCTATAGCCCATTTCAAGATCATTTTTGTCTATTGCGTAAAAATGTGGTCCAGTTTCAGTCTTTTGAATGCAGCTGTCCAGTTTTCCTGCACCATTTATTGAAGAGATTGCCTTTTCCCTATTATATATTCTTGCCTCATTTGTCATATATTAATTGATAATATACTTCTGGGTTTATTTCTGGGCTCGTTATTCCATTGCATTGATTCTGTGTGTTTGTCTTTGTGCCAGTAACACACTGTTTGATTATAGCTTTCTTTTTTTTTTAATTTTTTAATTTTTAATTTTGTTATCATTAATCTACAATTACATGAAGAACATTATTTTTACTAGGCTCTCCCCTTCACCAAGTCCCTCCAACAACCCCATTACAGTCACTGTCCATGAGCGTAGTATAGTAAGATGTTGTAGAATCACTACTTGTCTTCTCTGTGTTACACAGCCCACCCCTTTCTGCCACCCCCAACATTATACATGCTAATCATAAGGCCCCCTTTCTTTTTCCCCACCCTTATACCTCCCTTCCCACCCATCCTCCCCAGTCCCTTTCCCTTTGGTAACTGTTAGCCGATTCTTGGGTTCTGTGATTCTGCTGCTGTTTTGTTCCTTCAGTTTTTCTTTGTTCTTATACTCCACAGATGAGTGAAATCATTTGGTACTTGTCTTTCTCCACCTGGCTTATTTCACTGAGCATAATACCCTCTAGCTCCATCCATGTTGTTGCAAATGGTAGGATTTGTTTTCTTCTTATGGCTGAATAATATTCCATTGTGTATATGTACCATCTCTTCTTTATCCATTCATCTACTGATGGACACTTAGGATGCTTCCATTTCTTGGCTATTGTAAATAGTGCTGTGATAAACATAGGGGTGCATCTGTCTTTTCCAAACTAGGCTGCTGCATTCTTAGGGTAAATTCCTAGAAGTGGAATTCCTGGGTCAAATGGTAAGTCTGTTTTGAGCATTTTGAGGAACCTCCATACTGCTTTCCACAATGGTTGAACTAATTTACATTCCCACCAGCAGTGCAGGAGGGTTCCCCTTACTCCACAACCTCGCCAACATTTGTTGTTCTTTGTCTTTTGGATGATAGCCATCCTTACTGGTGTGAGGTGATATCACATTGTGGTTTTAATTTGCATTTCTCTGATAACTAGGTATGTGGAGCATCTTCTCATGTGTCTGTTGGCCATCTGGATTTCTTCTTTGGAGAACTGTCTGTTCAGCTCCTCTGACCATTTTTTAATTGGATTATTTGTGTTTTGTTTGTTGACGTGGGTGAGCTCTTTATATATTTTGGATGTCAAGCCTTTATCGGATCTGTCATTTATGAATATATTCTCCCATACCATACAAAAAGGTAGGGTACCTTTTTGTTCTATTGATGGTGTCCTTTGCTGTACAGAAGCTTTTCAGCTTGATGTAGTCCCACTTGTTCATTTTTGCTTTTGATTCCCTTGCCTGGGGAGATATGTTCATGAAGAAGTCACTAATGTTTATGTCCAAGAGATTTTTGCCTATGTTACTCCAGACAGTAACCCAAACATACATGGTCAATTAATATATGATAAAGGAGCCATGGACATACAATGGGGAAATGACAGTCTCTTCAACAGATGGTGCTGGCAAAACTGGACAGACACATGTAAGAGAGTGAAACTGGATCACTGTCTAACCCCATACACAAAAGTAAATTCCAAATGGATCAAAGACCTGAATGTCAGTCATGAAACCATAAAACTCTTAGAAAAAAACATAGGCAAAAATCTCTTGGACATAAACATTAGCAACTTCTTCATGAACATATCTCCCCAGGCAAGGGAAACAAAAGCAAAAATGAACAAGTGGGACTACATCAAGCTGAAAAGCTTCTGTACAGCAAAGGACACCATCAATAGAACAAAAAGGTACCCTACAGTATGGGAGAATATATTCCTAAATGACAGATCTGATAAAGGCTTGACATCCAAAATCTGTTCCACTGGTCTGTGTCTGTTCTTGTGCCAGTACCAAATTGTCTTCATTAATGTGGCTTTGTAGTAGAGCTTGAAGTTGGGTAGTGAGATCCCCTCCACTTTGTTCTCAGGATTTCTTTGGCTATTTGGGGTCTTTGGTGTTTCCATATGAATTTTTGAACTATTTGTTCTAGTTCGTTGAAGAATGTTGTTGGTAATTTGATAGGGAGTATGTCAAATCTGTATATTGCTTTGTGCACCATGAGTTTATTTTTGCTTTTGTTTCCCTTGCTTGAGATGTGTTGAGAAAGATGTTGCTCATGCTTATATTCAGGAGATGTTTGCCTATGTTGTCTTCTAAGAGTTTTATGGTTTCATGACTTACATTCAGGTCTTTAAACCATTTCAAGTTTACTTTTGTGTATGGGGTTAAACAATAATCTAGTTTCATTCTCTTGCACGTAGCTGTCCAGTTTTGCCAACACCAGTTGTTGAAGAGGCTGTCATTTCCCCATTGTATGTCCACGGCTCCTTTACCATATATTAATTGACCATATATGGTTGGATTTATATCAGGGCCCTCTAGTCTGTTCCATTGGTCTATGGGTCTGTTCTTGTGCCAGTAACAAATTGTCTTGATTACTGTGACTTTGTAGTAGAGCTTGAAGTTGGGGAGCATA